TCTTCTGCTTTGGTTACTGTCTGCAGTTGACCTGAACAAGGAGGAAATAAAAAGGATCAAGAGTGGCATATTTTTCTAAGTCTCCCTGACCTTAATTTATTATCTGGCTGGCAGCTTGTGCAGATCCTTGTCTGATTTTGTGTTGTTTCCTGAGGCTAGGAGACTTCCTGTATGATCTTGTGAAAGCTGCTTACATCCTGATCTTACTTCGGTAGGACTTCTCTTGCTTCAGCAAGATTTTTATTTCTCAGAGCCTTCTGTCTCCTGCTGGGTCACAGTAGAGATTTTGAAACTGGGCATAGTTGTTACTGGGTCTTGGATTTCAACTAATCATCGTCCATCGTGTTGCACGTCATTCCTGGACTAACTTTTGTGGGGGCTTCACCCATTCAAATGTATTTATGTGTGCATGCTTGCCATGAGAATTTTAGGACTAAAATAGAACTTTAATTGGAAAATTAAGCTTGTGTGATGTAGAAATGCAGATAGTTCAGAAGAATTGGAAGAGCTGATATGTCATAACAGGATCGAGTCTGTAAATAGAGAGAGAGCAAGTATAAAAGCTGAGGTGAGGTGGGCTGATATTTGCTGTGAAGAAGTTTCAGGTCCACTTCATACCTATAGCTGCACAAGCAGAGAACAACAGTATAATAGGATAATACAACGTGGCAGCGCAGAAACCCCAATAGCAAAAGTTTTAGGAATAACACGGTGTGCATGCTCTTGGAGAGAGCGGGGAATTGTCAGAAAATGAGTATTGTTCAAGGTTTGCTGGGTGGATAATGAGTGCTGTCCTGGGGGAGATACTTGCCTGTGAATGGCTCCCTGATTGCAGCTTTTTATCAGGGTAAATAAGCTTCCTAATGGCCCATTCTTGTGAGCTTTCTCCTCGACAAATAATAGTAAAAGTTATCAAAGATCTCATCATTAACGCTACTGTCAATGCTATAGTTGTTTTTCAGCAGCCTTTAGTCCAGTGCTTTAGAATTTGACCACTTTTATCTTTCCAGCACTTTTTTGATATGAGGTATATTGCCTTTCTGTAAATCACTCTTGTGTATTTTTAAGCACCTGTAACAAACATTTCAGCATTTGCTAATTTTGGTTCTAAAAATATCTGTTCAGTTACACCATGGTACGACCGATCTCCGTAACTATCTTCTATAGCTTTTTGTAAATTCTGATAGAATCAGTGCTGCTGTCTCTTGATCAAGTTCTGAATGAAATGAGGAAGAATGGATTAAACCTCCTGCTTTCACAGAATAGAATCACAGAATCATAGAATCGTTTAGGTTGGAAAAGGCCGTCAAGATCATGCAGTCCAACCATTAACCTCACACTACCAAGTCCACCACTAAACCAGTTAAGGGTAGAGTAATAATTAACTTCATGTTTCCTGGCTTGGTGCCTGGATCATTTTTCAATGAAAGTAAAACTAGGAATCATTAGGGTTGGAGAGGGCCTCTAAGATCATCAGTCCAACCATCAACCCAACACCACCATGCCTACTAAACCATGTCCCAAAATGCCACGTCTACATGTTTTTTGAACACCTCCAGGGATGGTGACTCCACCACCTCTCTGGGCAGCCTGTTCCAATGCTTGAGATTTCACCTCAATCACAACCTCTAAACACTTTTTCCTTTAACATAAGTGAAGTTAGTTACCATTGAGAAGGTGACCTTTAATGTCTGTTGAATGTATGCACAAACCACATCCCCATTCTTTACCAGAAAGCTTTTAAAGTTCTCTTCTTATTAGCGTACAGAACTGTACTTGGAGGATTTGCAGTAAGAAATCTAGCACTTCTGCTTTTCTGAAAGCGTGGTTGTATGCATAACCTTATTTCTGCTGTTCAGGTATTTACAGAAAATGACATTTTTCATTACTTTAGAGCCGTCACATCCGTTTTATTTTCCAGGCCAATGCAGAGCCCCAGACTTCTCCAGAGCTCCTCGTGTACACTCACTTCATGGTACCAGTTAGACGCACACTTCTTCAGTCAGTTTTCCACAGACTTAATTTTCACTTTTTCTTTCAGGAGTGATTCCCATGTTTCTGTTTCTCTCTCTGGTCAGGTCTCTACTATCTTTTTTTGCAGTTACCATTGTGTGAATCGGGAGTCATAAAAGCTGTTGGTGAACAATGTTAGTATCTTGACCAGAGGAGCAGTCTCTTACCAAGTCTATCAGCTGGTGCTTGACACCATTTGCACATTACCTTTAAAGGTAGTACATGAAAAGCCATATGTGAAAGTCCACTGAGAGGGAACACTGTCTCACCTGTCTCTAACTGTGGAGAATTTCTGACCCTTTTTCAGCTTTTCTTCCTGAAGGGCCCTGCTCGTGCTCATAGCTTCCATTTGATCCCATGACTGTTGTCTGCCCAGCTGGTTAGAGACACCATCTACCAGCGACTGTGCTGTTGCCCTGCAGCTGAACACATAGACTGGTGCCAGCAGGGACAGCTTGGGACAGATTATTTTACATGAAGCCAATGAACCTGTCAGTCAAGCTTTCCTCTTCTCAGTACAGGCTTTGAAAATGGAAAGTGAATCAGTGTCACCTATGTCCCAATTCCTCTGTCCCAATTCCTCAGTGACAGTCATTTTCTTTCTTTAAACTTACAAGAAAGGTCCATTCTCGGGTTCTTTTTTGTTTTTTTGTAAATAACCACTTACTTACTATCTTTGAACCCTCCAGACTCTGAGGCATTTTCCCAAATTCAGTTCATCCCAGATCTCCCATTTAGAACAGTAGCAGAGTGCAAACCCGAATTTCCCGTTACCCATAATCACCCGACAACGTTTCATGCAGCGACAGGCCTTTGCTGATGGAGTAATTGCACAAATCCTGCAGCAAACCACCAGGACTAGCAGTTTGCAGGCTGGCCAGAATGGCATTCATGAAACGGTGCAGCTTGTCGCTCTGTCCCCCTTCCCTCCCCAACGAGTAAAGGAAAAACAGAAATTGCTCATGAACCACTCCCTTCCTGCATATACACAATGTATACATCCTGTTACCCCAAAAAATTTCCAAGGAAGCACAGGTTTGTTGTGCTAAGATAGTATCGTCTCCTCTCCCCTGCCCCAGTCCTCTACACCCCTTGTCCTTCCCTGTCCTTTAGTGCAGTGGTAGCACAACCCTTCAATGACCTGTTTAATGTCTCGTTCAGGGAGCGCAGAGACATGCTGGCTTTAGCCATCCTCTTGGAGAACACGAAGAGAAGAAATAAAAGCTGGAGTGGGCTTGATCCTCCTTCCTGAAGCAGGCAGCAACAACAGGGACAGGGGATCTGACTCCTGCTGGAGGTTGGTTGTATCAAGGCTTTTTATAGACTGTATATCCAAATTTAGGTCATAGATGCATAGACACATGCTTGTGAACGTATCACATCCAGAATTACAGATCTGGACCACTTCCTCTGCCCACTGATCCTCTCTCTTCGTACACAAAATTAATTTAGAGGTGACATGAAAGGGGGTACCTACACTATTCTGCTTTTTTTTTCCTGTGTTTTGGCGTCATTTTGCTGTTGTGCCCAGCAGTTCGTGTCTTGGACCAAAGTCTCCTACTGTTAAAGGCTGTACAAACAGATTACTTTTTTTTTTCTTTTTCTGTTTAAAAGGTATGATGGTAAAATCAGATTTGGATGAGAATGAGTTGTATTTTGTTGCAGGGAGCTGCTTTCAGGATGAAGGATAGCTAAACCAAGACAGTTGGAATCTCTTCCATAAAGGATGGGCAGCCAGCACAACTGGCTAATGATTTTCAGGGGCTGTGTATGCAAAAAAAGAGCTAGAAATTTTCCCATCAAAATGAAAAAAGAAGGCAGATACATAATGTGCGTCTGGTCAACAGCACAGCTGATGAAATAAGACAGCACAAACCCCACATCAGTGAAGCAGGTCTTCAGCCAGTACCAGGCATTCAGTTTTGTGAAAGGTTAAGGACAGCTTGAGAAAAAACCCTTTTTTTCTTTTAATTATTTGCCCATTCCATGGAAAGTCCAGCATGAATTGAACATGTTAAGAGCTGCAGCATTCCCGCTTTGTTACATTCTCCCCACCTTCAGCTTGGAAATTAAGAGATGCTTCTAGCAAGGCATAACAGCCAAGTTCTGCTCGTGTTTCTAAAGCTTTGGGAAGACAGTGGAAGTATTTGGGTAAGGAGGAGCAGTGCCTTTGGCACTTTGTATTCCCCCTGTGACGGGGTATAGAATACCCTTCTTGACACAATTTTGCACAGCACCTAAGTTTGGCAATATTAGAGTGAGTATAAGCACAAGGCAACAGTGACAGAGAAAGCATTTATTAAGACAAGTGTAATAGTTATTTTTCCATGGGATAAACAACTAAATGCATGACAGCTGACCCATTAAACAGATGGTAACATTTTCCCCTGCTCTTTCGCTTACTGCAGTGTGAAAAAAATCCAACTGGCAATGCCTGTTTAAGTAATTTGATTACTCATTAGTCAGTTAATGCTTCTCTAGTCTTACATGCAGCTGCTGACAAACTAATGAAAAATGTATTTTCCACTATGGCCAGTTTACGCTAACTGTGACACCGTTTAATGGGGAGAGTAAAGCACTGAGATAGTTCAAAATGCAAGGAGCTCACCTAATGAGTGGTCAGCATCCTCATTTAGCATTGTGGGTGTCCCTGTTAGCGTGAACCTTTCTCCAAGCTCAATTATGTCAGTTTACTCATGAACTACTATTATCCCTAAATCTGTTGAAACCCGTTTCACTTAAATTCAAGAAGTAAACTGCCAACCCTACAAGAAACAGCTGCAGTGAATACCAACAGCTGCTGAAAAACCTAAGGCAAGGCCAGTTACATTATGGGTACTTGCATGAGTACACAGCAAATCCCTTCCCCTTCCGAAGGATGCAGCAGGTTTCACTGTTTAGTTCAGTGTCAGCGGATGTAACTGGGCTCATTTCAAACGCTCCGAGAATTGTTTTTTCCCCACAAATTTCTTTAAATGTGTCAGTGTCTAAGGTTCTGGCAATGGATACACAGATACAGAACTACTCTGATCAGCAACTAATACTCTCTTGGAGCCTTTGATCTCTGCGCATGAGATCCAGTTCACCTTCTCTCTGTGCTCAATGGTTAGCTTTGGTAAAATTCTAGCATGTTCATTTGAAGCCACTTTGCTGAGCTTTCCATCTCTTCTGGTGGAAGCAGGTGCTTGGGCTTTCCTTCTCTGGAGTGATTTTGCTGGACTTTGCTGCTGCTTTCCAACATCACTGCTGACATCCCAGAGCAAGACCTTCCCGTCATTTCCTCCAGTCAACAACCAGTATGCTTCTGGCATAAAGAGGACCTGCGATACTCCCAAGCTGTGGCCCTGAAACTCCAGCTCACATTCAAACTTGACACCGCTGACTCTGAATATTCTAACTTTACCATCTTGAGCTCCGCAGCCAAAGACATTGCCACACGATGCAACAGACAGGGAATGTGCAAGCGGTGGGTTAAAGAACTGGCCAGTTGACTGTGGACTGTCTTCCTCTGTTTCACACTCCTGCAGGTTTGTGGTCCACAGGGGACGAGCTTTCTGCAGGTTCCACAGCATAACCTTGAAAAAAAAGTATGAATCAATAATTTGTCCATTTCTGATTTTAAGTAAGATCAGATCTTTCTCTAACAGTAAAAAAAAAACAACTACACTTCTTGCTCTAGCAGAGCAAAGGCTATGCATGAGTGCAAGAGATACAAGATGTGTTGTGAGAGTGGCTGAACTTCACCTGATACATATGGCAAACCTTTACAGCACACTTTCCAAACCCTCATACTTGCCCTGCTCAGCAGTCAGTGACTCAGACCTTTAGACCTCAAGATGGGTGAAAAAGCTGTTCTAAATGCTTTTGCGTTCATCTCAGCAGTAGTAATCATGATACACTGCACATCAATTATTTAAAAGGAGGGACACAGAAATGCTAGCACTAAATAGAGATCATTATCAGAATGATTTTAGTTCTGTCTCTGCTACATACTTGTCCTAAAACAATCACTTTTGTGATGGAACAGCAAAAAGCAAACAGTAGTTTAGGCCCTCAATTTTAAACAGACATATATGTATTTTTTTAATATCCAATGAGTAGATCTGGTTTGTGCTATTTCCGTATCAAGGTAGGGTGTGCTTTTCCTGATTGAGACAGGGGGAGGCTGTGCTTTCAGACTTGCTTTTAAAATGCCACCCTACCTGCAAGCCCCTCATGAAGCAGTAAGTGCGCCTTCAAATGAATCCTGTGTGTCTCATACAGTAATTCAAGTACAATAGGTTTATATTGCACCAGTTAAAAATAATTCTCTCAATACTTTTGTAGTATCAGAATTGATGATTAGCATTTTCAAGGCCAACAGATATGAAAGCACAAGGCAGTCTAATGCAGTACTGGTGTGCTGTTTACTTTTTTAATCAAAGCTTTCATTTGTTATTAATAAAAGATATCCCTCCACTAGTAATCTCCAGTAGAAAATACAGAATTATTTAAATTTGGGCCACAAAAGAGTTGTCACACTGGCTCTGTGCTTCTGGAATCCAAATCACACTAAGACATCCAAAATATGTTGTTTCCTGTCACTTTTCTGTTTTAGCGACTGCTGTTGCTGCTACATTAAAACTACTTTGCTACCGATGAAAGGGAAAACTTTCCACGATGACTGTGCAGAGCAGAGTAAATCAGAGAGGCTGTGTCTTAGTGCTTAAGGCAAATAGTCCTGTTTTCATCACAGACAGCACTGCATCAGGTTTATGAATTCATCAAGTGCTAATAAGTTTTTAGTGCGAACTAAGTATTTTCTGTCCTCGTGGCATTTTCCCTGGTTCCATGGCACTCCTGAAAAAACACCACCAACCTAAATTTCAGTTCTCATCAGCTACTGACTTCACTGAGGGTTTGACATGCAAGCCCAGAACATGTTTTGATGCTCGTAGAGCTTGTAACTTGTCGAAAGACATGCCGCAGCACAGCATTTCAGAGTACTGCAGCTCAGCTTCTCTTTGTGAAATGATGCATCTTAAAGCCAGCCTCGATGCGGAAAAATGCTCTTTTAATTGTACAAAAACACACTAATGAAGTCCCACTATTTTGGGATACTGACTTTCACCTAAAGAACTCCTTGCCAAGCTTCAGTAAAACATACTAAAACTAAAAAGTCACAAAAAATAATGAGCTCACTTGCACAGAAGTGGTATATAAACAGTTACAATTCTGATTAAAAAATCTGCATTTTAGGGACCTGAAATTAAGCCAGCCATCTAAGGTGCTGAGCATTTACTCCTCTCAGACTGACACTTTGGTACCTCTGCAAGGAAGTTTCTCACAATACTTCATTTAAAATCCTATATCCATCCTTTAGTCAACCTAAGGAAAAACAAAAAAAAGAATTTGGAAGATTTCTGAAAATTTGACAAAGTTTAAACCTGGCAGACTTCTATCAATCTGCCTCTATTTGGATATATACACACTAACTGGATTTATATGATTCATGGCTTTAATATGGAAAAATACCACTTATACTAAATATCAAGATGTATTTGTTCTAATGGGTGTTCGATGCACTTCTGTTTTAAGAACATGGGGTGAAACTGCTCAACACTATCAAAGCAAACTTCACCCTAATACCGCTAGAACCACAGAAACCTTTGTAGAAGTGATAGTTTTAATCTTGGGCTCAACCAGGAATGTGGTCAGATCTCAACCACTGGAAAGAAATTACAAAAACAACTGTTCTGGGTGGCCAACTTTGGCAATGTAACTCAAGACTTCATTAACTCCTAGCATGGTTTTTCTCAGAACACTTCCACAAGTGGCGTGCAAAGGACAAACTTTCCTCTTAATGAGGCCAGAGAAGCATAAAAGGCAAAGAACATTTAACGCTTCCAAGAGGTTAATCAGAACAAAGGATAAATTTATAAAAATGACTTGTCCCTACAGTGGTACATACCACCTGGATAGATATTTATCTACCTGGTGTAAAGCATTCTGCATTTTGTCTGCAGCCATAACTAGGGACAACTTCTGCTTTTGGGTCCAACAGATTGCTAATGTGGCCAGAGCATGCTTTGCACCGTCTTCTAATTTCCCCCCACCCCAACCAGTTCTATAATATGACTTAATGAAGATAAAAATAGGGAGAGGAACTGATGAGTAGAAAATGGCACAGACAGCGTCAAAACTGTTAGCTTCTCCGCCAAAACTTTAGAAAAGTTAAGGAGCTTTCCAGCGACTGCAGGCTGTACACCCTCAGTCCTAGTGAAAGTCTGTTGGTGCCTCACTACGCAGGTGGGTAGTTACTGTTTCGCTTCTCTAATAACCATCTAATTGTATGCAAATCACCTGCATGTCCAGCCCACAGGAAACAAGGCTTTGAGGCCTCTGAGGTCGAAAGACAACAGAGGAGCAGATGTTTGTGTGTCTCAAGGACCGGCTGACTTTCTTGTTTTCCAAGTCCATAACCTTTATTGCTCCCGAGTCATCTGCTGCAGCCAAGAAATTGTCGGTTTCGTTCACCGAGAGGCAGTTGATCTCCTCCTCATTGACATGGAAACGTTCAACAGGCTCCTTGAGGGATCGAACATCCAGCAAACTGACAGTTTCTCCATGGGAGGTGTACAGCCTGCTGGGACAGCGGGGAGAAAACACCATGGAGGTCACGTCGTCTGCCTTTGGGAGCTGGAACTGTCCTGCCGGAGTGCCTCCACCATCCCAGAGCACGAGCTCGCCTCTTTCTGCGCCTGAAGCCACCAGCCCTTCCGTGTTTACGTTCAAGCACAATATAGAGGACGAATGTCCACCAGTCCATTTGTCTGCCATATTTCAGGGACACCTCTGAAAGAAAAAAAAAACAAAACCCTGAATTGAGCTGGTGTTGGTTGCATTACAGTGGAAAGCTTATCTAAAACCAAGATAACTGCATTGACTGTAATGCACACTACTTGAAACTCTTAACGTTCAATTAAAACAGGCACCTCCACAGATCAGTACCCAAATGAAGCTTTGGCAGAAACAGCATCAATGTTGGCCACGACAGCACGAAACGGCAGCAATGCTGGCACGTGTACCCGTGCAGTACATGTGCAGCAGTGTATCTGCTGCTCTGACATGGCTGCCTAGGTGAGAGCTGCTTCCTTGAAGCGCGTAAGGACATAGTGCGCCTGACAAAACAGGGGAACAGTTCCTAGTGGGGCGTACTGGAAAGGAGCAAGGGGAAAATGGCAAACTGATAATTTTCTTGTGACTGGTAAACACTAACAGATGTTTACATAAAATGAAAAACAACGGCATCTTTTTAAAAAAGTGTTATCATTTTAAGGCAGGTAGTTACAAAGTTCACAGCAGGTTTAACTGGACCTCAAAGCAGCTCAAAGCACACCCATCCAGCTTACCATGCTCCTAGCCCTTTGCTTGGCACGACTGCCCACAGCAGCCTGTGCGAAAGGTCTGTTTAGGGGCCCAAATCAGTAGAGAAGGAAGTGGGGGAAAAACCAAGCAACACGAAAGCACAAGTTTTGCAGAGACTAGCATGCTGTGGGGGAAAAGGAGAGCGGACACCAGGGTAGGGGTGCAGGTGGCAATGCAGAGTTTGTACGATGGAGCTATGGCTGTCCCAGCACCAGCTTTGGTGACTGCGGCGCTGCATTAACATCTATGGTTTTATGGCATTACAGGGCAATAAAGTTGTGGGTTGGTTTTTTTTTTTACCATGTTATGTTTTGCATGTGATTTTTGTTGAGCCTGATCTAAAAAGCAGCACGAATTCATTCAATCCACCAGGAAAACGTCAGTCTTGTCCATTAAATAAAATTACAGAAAGCGCCGGATACCTTACCCACA